TAATTTGGATAAATAGTTTATTTCTGACCTTGTTGATGAGCTAATGGAGTCTGTGGACTGCTCCTGTCTTAAACAACTATAGTATCAAAACCTTCTTTGGCTATGTCTGTGTTAGCATTAAGCATTGTAAACAGTTTTTGTAGCCATCATTTTATTATTTTCAAGGTGGGTTTTGTGGAAAGGTTATAAACAATTATTATCTTACCTGTTACAGATGGAAGTAGCATTATCTCTGACCAGACTGACAAAGTAACGGTTAGCCTGAGCGAGGATAAGACCAAAAGTGGATCACCACCTCCATAAAACAACTCCAATGTAAAAATTTCCATTGTGCTTTATGCTAACGCTGCTTTGTAAACCTTTACACTGTTAGCAATAATAATAAAATTAATGTAGATTTTTATGTTGATTTGTAAGTTTAAACAGTAACAGCTAGCTGTAGCATGTTTTAAATGACTATGCTTGCAACTAAATTTAAAAAAAAACTGTGACGTAAGGGGTTATAAAATGGCATTAGCATGAACCGCTACGTCAATTTTCAGGTTGGATTCGTTAAAGATGGCAGCACCATTTTGGTGCTAGTTATTAGCAACTAGCCGTTAGCTCATCAGTCAATGAGGTCGTTCAGAAACCTATTAACCTTTCTACAGAACTCGACTCCAACAGATCTAAAATATCCCTTTACGAGGCGCTTTGCTAACACGTTTTAAATTTTCTTTGTTCTCGCTAGGCAGGGGATTTTAATTTTATACCCAATAAACTGTCTCCAGCCGTACGCCCGAGTGTGCAGTTGGTTTGGACCCACGCTCGCCACAAGTAGCTTTGGCTGAAGCCCAGAAAGTAGAAATTACAGCATAATGAGTCCCACTTCTCCCTCAATTTAAAATCAAAAGGGAAAAGACTAGTGGGAGTAACGAGTCATGGATATGGTCCACTGAGAGATGCACTATGAGACGGATGAAGAGTACCGTCACTGTTTTTTCTGTCAGCGTTTCATACACACACTCTTATTAAAAAAACGAGATGATGTGTGAAGCATCAAAGGTATTTCTACCTGCGTTTCTAAAGATAGCCTTCTTGTAGTGATGTCGAGTTGGAGCGGGGAACCGATCAGAGAGAACACGGTGATTTTTATTTATTTAGTTTAATCACTGTCCTGAATTTTGTGACACGTCGTCAAGAAAAAGGGTTGCGCTTGTGAAGGGGATACTTGTTACCATGGCGACAAATCCAGCCCATGCTGCTGCGGTTGCCATAGAAACTGAAACAAAAACACATGATGCTTGCTCTTGGTAAAAATGGAAAAAGTTTGTATTTTTAATGGCAATGCTCTCATTTTGAAGTTGTTTTCGGGATTAGCATCAAACATCTGATGCGCCGAAACCCCTCGGGTGATCTCACATTCCATTTCTGGGGCTTTGAAGGCTTCAGAAGCTGTTCTTCTCTCTGTTTCTGTTTAGGTGCCTATCCTCGACTGTCTCTAAGCTTTAAGCTGAAGAGGAACATTGGCTACTTCATCTTGCAGACGTACATGCCATCGATCCTGATTACCATCCTCTCCTGGGTATCCTTCTGGATAAACTACGATGCGTCGGCAGCCAGAGTGGCTCTGGGTAAGAAGCAGAAGCCGGTAGGCAGCAGCTATTGGACTTTCTCAGCCGAATTTGGGAACTAACACAAACCACAAGGTGATTTCTTTCCTATCAGTGCTGAAAGAGACATTACACATTCATTGAGAAGTCACTTAAAATACTTTACTTTTGCATTTGTTGTGAAGTGGTTTTCCCTTTTTTTTTTAAATCTGTGCCTTATTTTTAAAGGATAGAAACAAAAGACCAGGGGTAAGAGGCTAACCAGTTGAGTTTTTAAATGACGAATTCTGATGCAGTTTTTTTTTAAGCATGGCAGATTTACGAAGCCACATTTTATCCTCATGGAGCAAAGAGGGGATTTGGAACTATCCCCCGTCCTTCCATATTGTGAGCTGTATAAATTGAAAAATAAGTGAGGTATTGACTTCCATTTTGATGTCAGAATCAGAATAAGCTTTTTTGTCATTGCACCGTTAAGTACAGCGAGATTATGTTCCGTACAGCCGTCCTAAAGATGGACGGAAGTGTACAGGGGCTGCAGCTTCTAAGAAGTGCTGCCCTTATTGCTTAGATAGAAAAAGGGAAGACACATAAGGAGAGAGAGGTTAAAAAAAAAAGATCTCTCACATCGTGTCCTTGACAGGCACAGTTTAAAATATTTAAAAAATCTACCTCAGCAAGCAACGTAGACAGACACATGCATGTCCGAGAAGACGGTGAGATTTGTCCATGAGCACTTCAAGATAGTTTCCATAGTCCTGATAAGATGTTACAGTGTCTCTCAGGCGGTACAGTTTCTTGGGGGGGGGGGCAGAGCTTCTTTATTTACATATCCACCAAGAGCAATTTGAGACAAGTTGACCTTCCAAGGCTGAGCAGGGAGGCCAGATTTAGAGAAACAACAATTGTTTGGGCAGACAGCCTCTGGTTCCTGTCTGCCTTCAGTTCAGCTGGAATTCTCAGTGGTGGATCCAAACAGCCAGATCTGTGGACATTCCACTGGCCCGCCCTTTAGCTTTTCTCCAGGGTCGAATCCATCATGTTGGTGAGATCCAGGGAGCTCGCAACGCATTCTGGGGAGTGGTGGTGCAGAGGTTAGAAGATGGTTCTGTGATCGGAAAGTTGCAGGTTCAACTCTCGGTACCGTTCAAACTCAAAATGTGGGTAGAAAAGGTAAAACACCCACACCTCCCTCCACCCTCATTCGCCTCACACTGGGCCCCTGAGCGAGGCGCTTAACCCCCACCATCTGCTCCCTAAACAGGTCTCTCTTGAAAATGAGTTCTCGTGGCTCAATGAGACTACCTGGATAAATAAAGGGGAAAAATGAGAAAAAAAATACGAGTCTGAGAGCTCTAAGCACAAATTAATCCGTCACATGAGGTTGGCAGCTTTACCAGGGCCGAAACTGCTGCCGACGTCTTACTAATTTGTCGATATCCTAGGTATCCACCGATCCAAAAAGCAGAAACCCTGTTATCATAAATCCAATTATGTACAAGTGTTATCCATGACATACCCAACTGTGTGCATCCGCTTGGGCATGAGGGCTCTCCAGCACCCTGTCTCTAGTAAAATGTTTTTATCAATTGCGTTGAGAGACCAGCTGACCAGATCCATAATAATATTTTACGATTCGGAAGATGTGTAAAGAGAGGCTCTGATTCAAAGGACAAAGAACAAAAAGCAGGAGAGGAAAGAAACATGTCCGTCTTGTTCGAGGGCAAGTGAAAAAATGTGTGGTTGCAACTGGACACAAGAAAGCTACATATAGATCCCTATAGAAAATAGGGTTGCCATGTCAAAATCCAAGATTGCCACCACCATATTTACAGTATATGCAAACCAGCCACCTAGGTCATTTGAGGAAACTATGCTTTCTAGTTTTCAATATTGCTTAAAAATATAGTTTCCTCAAATTATTGGGGTAGTTGCATATTAATGTATGGCGGCCAAGGCCACCACTGGCTACCCCCTGGCTCGTCCATCGCACTTTGTGGTGGATGCAATTTCTCCCTCCACTCACCAAGCTCCATCTCACTATGCCTCCTTGGACAAGCCCTGCAAAAAAATTACACATGCATTATCCTACATGTTTTGGATGTTTCTCTGTTCCAACACTCCTGATTTGAGTGAATGGGTGATTAAGTCTTCTGCAGGACATGAAGAGGTAATTCAGCTGTTGAATCTGGTAAAACATGTAGGATAATGGCCCCAAGATTGGCCATCCCTATAGACCCACAACTATTCAGCAGGGTCACAACCACTTGAGATTTGAAATCTATATTCCTCTTCTTGTAACGAAATCCATCCAGCAAAGCATAGCAGATAACTTGCACTAACGTTCATAAACTACATAAATCAGTAAATCTTTCTTGCCAGGGTTCTCTTTGGGCCAAGAAAATCAAACAACTCTAGTCATTTTGCACTTTAGTTGAACATGACAACCAAGTAGTACAATGTGTAACAGCTAGAGTTGATTTTATTTAAACCCTTGTTATTCTGCACCAAATATAGCTTTTCGGTTTGGATTTTATAGCAGTCAAGCCCAACTTTCTTATAAAAGTGCATCTAGAGATCAACGGGACTAACAGATTAGCAACAAGAGTCTCATTGCCATCGTTGGTGACGACAGTCTGACCTTTCAGAGTGCAACTACACGACTCCTCAGAGAACTTAACTGGGTACATTTTATAATGACGACCATGGGAGCTAATTTGTGAATGGTGGTGGTGGGGCTCCCATAGTGAGCCAAACTTATTTTAAATATGATTTAAATGGATTGTACTTTTATAGCGCCTTTCTTTCGTAGCAAGATACTCAAAGATCTTTACAACAATCTGTGTCCTCATTTATCCATTCATACAGCACTCTACTAGATCTATACAAAGAATAATCAGAGCTTTATCACATTCATACACCGATGGGACACACATCAGAGGCGATGAGGGGTTCGCTGTCTTGCCCAGGGACACTTCAACATGTGACTGCTGGTGGAATCGAACCCCCAGCTCTTGCATTGGAGGAGACTGCTCTAACCACTCAGCCACAGTCGCCCCATTTAACAGCACTCAAGGAAAATATATGGTTGATGTCACTGTCATTTGGGATAACTAATAATAATTCCCTTCCTAGCAACAGAGCAAGTTCATATTTGTTATAGCATTATAATTGAAGATGCTTAAAAACAGCTTTTAGAACACATTAGGCCCTGTCTGGTGGCCTAGAGGGTCCTGATGGTATCCTTCTGCTACAGCAGCCATAATTACCCGGTCACGACAGGGTCCCTGTGAGCAATAAAAACAAATCTCAAACAAATGTTTGTTGGTTTGTAGTCATTGTGATCCCTGAAGGAGGATGCAGTGTGGTTTGTCTGGGACGAATGTTGACTCGATATACAAGACAGGAGTAATAAAGGCAAAATGACCATCAAAGCAATATCTAAAAATGTTACCTGGATAGTTGATTCTCAAGAAGACGTAACAGTGTTGGGGTTCTGAGTGCTCTGGTGTAACTAAATTAAATTGGACTCCACCTACTGTTGGTTAGGGGCCGGTATCTTTTTTGGTATGTATTCTCGAAGTACAAACTCATTTGGCAAGCGGTTTTATATATAAATGTGGTTTTAGGGTGAAGGGGCACATCTTTCTTGAACCAGATGCTTTCAGATTTTTACCTGAATTTAGCTTCTACTGTATGTTGGTCTGTGTGCTGTGTTAAGAATACCTGGTCGCCTAAAACCTCATTGTGAAACCTAATGGTTTCAAAACAAAATACTCTAGTGGCATGCGGGTGAAAGTTGTACACATGCTTTTTGTATCCATTATCAAACGTCTGGTATAAATCTGCTACAATATTTGACTGCCCTTCTTGGCAGGATTAATTGAGTTCATTTAATTGGCTAGTTTATTTGGACTGGACTCGGGTTTTAAAGGTACAGTCCTTTCAAATAGTACCAGTAGTTAGTGCTTTACCTGCCGGAACGAAAGTCACAGAACACAGAGTATGAAAAAGACAGAAACATTATAATATTCCCTGAGAAAGCGCTAAGCTGCCTGCTTTGATGCAGTTTTCTGTGTGGGATGTAAGTTGAAGTTTACGGGTCTGGAGATGGGAGGTCAGTTGTGGGTCCTGTTGTAAAGCTTGGCCTCCGGGGCCAAACCTTTCAATCTGGACCTCTAACTGATTGCCACTTTGGCTCTTCAATCATCTGTGCATGGATAGATAATGGACCGATAATGACCTTAACACATCATAATGCTTTTAGGAAAGCATGTTCTTATCCATTACCGTACTGCAGCGTCTGTCTCTGCTTTGGTGTTGCTCGTTATCTGAAGAGTCTCTATTTGTGCATTCTTTTATGTGGCTTGGTCTTGTTATCACATTCGTTAAGGAATGCATGCAATATCTGGTCATTACGGTATATGCCTTGGAGCGCTTGTCTGATTTTGTGTGTTCAAGAGCAAATGGATAGCTGCAATATCCGGTGTGGGCCTCGGCAACTGAGAGGCATCCGGAAGTCCACTCAGTTCTCTTATGGTGCATTGTGAGCTTTCAGCAGGTAGCTTGTTGTAAAGGAAAATGTGCCAACCTGCCGGTAAGAGAAGTGTAATGATCAGTGGGAAATCAATTCAAAGAGGCAGAAGGCAAACAATTGAATTGTTTGAAGGGGAATCTCATTTTCCCAAGCTATTCCGAAGGACTGCAAAGTTACAAATTACCCGCTCGTGCCCTAATCTAGTTGCAGCCCATTTCCCAGAGTCATGCCCCTCGTTCGTGATCACATTATATGAACAGTCAAGGTGTGGGTGTTCGTTGGGAGAACGAGAGTACATTTAGTGTAACGCAAGATCCCAATATGATTCTCCAGACCTTTAAAATGTATTTTTTCGTAGCGGCAGATTCATAAAACGACGAGTGGTACAGTCTGCACACTGAAGCAGTTATCGTTCATTTATTTCCATGATTGCATCCAACATGGCACCTTCCACTTTGTGTAACATTGAGCTGTGCTGCTAATT